GAGTATCGCCAGTTCAGGGTTAGCTGCAGCTACATACCCTGTCTCAAAAACAAGCAAAAAAGCACAAAGTTCTGGAGGTATGGCTCATATGTTAGGCTCTGGGTTCAATCCCTAGTACTGCTGAATGAATAAATGAATGAAACAAAACTTGAATATATCACACCATTCACAAAAATTTATTCCATGCCAATCATAGATAAGGAGTACAAGACAAAACAATAAAGCTAAGAGAAAATATAGGTGGCCAAGTTTGTCATCTTAGTATAACGATTTCAAAAAGTATGCCTATCATACTAAACCTAAAAGGAAAAGATGGATCTAGTTCAACATCCTGACAGTAGAAGCTTCTGTTCATTAACAGGCATCATTAACAGAGTGAAACACAAGTGACAAAAGATAATTGGTGTCATTTTAACCTTCAAATATCACAGATCCCATGTTCCTAAAATCAGCTCTTACCCTGCAAGTGGCACAGAAAATGTGCAAGAGTGCTCAGTAGGCACTTCTAAAGAGAAAATGCCAGACAATCAACAAGCATGTGAAAGGGACTTAATTCATTAATAATCAGGAAAACACAAACTAAACTGTAGTAAGTTGCTGTGACAGACCCGCCAGGAATGGCTGTAATTTACAAACTGACAGGATGGAGCCAAAGAGAGTGAGGAGCAACTGCTGTCTGCTAGCTACTGGAAGGATTGTGGGTTGATATTGTCTCTTTCTGAGCAGTTGGGTGTCACTCCTGAAGCTGAAGCTGTGCATATCCTTAAACTGAATGCCCGTTGTCCTCCAAAAGAATATTCACAATAGAACTGTGTACACTAAGACCATGAACATAAATGTTCATTATAGTTCTATTCATAATAACCTCAAACTAAAGACAACTCATATCAACATTAGAGCGAGTAAAGAAACTATAGTGTAGTCATACAGTGAAATATTACACAGCAACAAAAACAATCTGCAGCTACATAAAGCAGTATGGATGAATGTTAAAAGTAGAATGTTGAGTGAAAAAGTCAAGGCATAAAATAATATGGGTTGTATTTTACTTAAAAACAAAACTAATATTTAGATTGCTGAAATGGTAAAAATATAAATAAAAATAAAAATATTAAAAACGCTAGTCTTTGAAATGGAGTGAAGGGGTTACATGGCTATTTGCTTAAATTACTGAGTTATAAGTTGTGTACTTCTATTTTGTATGCCTTTTTCATGTTGTACAATTTTTAAAAGATTGAAAAATGTGAAGAGAATACTGTACAGGTAAGTCAGAGGAGACAAATTTCATGCAAAGGTTTATTTTTAAAAGGATGTTGATAGTGCAATTAGATTTATACAGACTTCTATGGTAGTCCTAAAAGCCCAGTAAGTAGTAAATCATTCCTTCTGTAACCATTGTTCACCACTAGGTAAGTACAGGCCATCAGCTCTCACTTTCACAGTAGTTCAGGACTGGAAAAATGACTGTCCAAGTTGAAACCATGGAAAACTATCTTGACCAATGGGAAACTTATAAATGGTTCCATGCTCTTTAAAATTTTTTGTCAAAACATTAAAAACTCTTACTGGCTAACATGTATAAGGACTTGAATTTTTTATTAAGTACAATGTAACTTAAAACATTAGAAATCATAATAAGAATTAGTGGGCCTTTTATTTTATTTTGGGGATCACAGGATTGAAACAGGGTCTCATTACATAAGCCCAGGCTGGCTTGACCTCATGATCTTCTGCCTCTGTCTCCCAAGTGCTAGAATTACAAGCATGTGCCACAGCTGGCTAGGAATTAGTGTTTTATTTCTTTGTAAAGAACTTACTGGGCTGGTAGAGGCTCAAGTGGTAGAGCACCTGCCTCACAAGTGTGAGGCCCTGAGTTCAAATCCCAGTATCACCAAAAAAAAAAAAAAAAAACTTACCCAGGACACTTTTGGCTTCCTGTCAAGTGAGCATTTTTTTTTCTTCTGTGCCTTGGCAGGTTGTCACAGCTCGTTTCTACTAAATTTGAGTCAGCTTCCAGTATCTTTTGCATTTTCAGGTTAGTGATTGAGAGAGCTTTAATGTGACGTTTCTCTGCCAGCATCACTTCCTGTGGGATGTACTCCTTTTTCTTGTCACAACTGCATTCCTCAGTTGTGACTATTAGGTTTGCCATCACTAAGTTCCTCTGGCTGCATATTGAGAGTCAAACAATGTAAGTAGCAACATTCTCACTGTTAGGTCTTTGTTCTATTATTCCACTAATGTTGGATTTGAATTTCATTTCCAGTGTTACCATTTTTAGGTTCTTTGCTGCTCTTTTATCTTTGTTCGCCAGTTCCATCTTTCAGCTACCCATTTCGTAAAATTTCATATGGTTTAGCACTGGGAGGCAAGAAGGCAGCACAGATATAAGCCTTGCTGTCTGTGGTTGATTTAAATAGCACATCCTGTGTGACCAATTTCAAAAGATTGGTCATTGATCATGACTGGTCACACTGATCTTATTAACAGTGATTTTTGGACTAGAGCACTAACAATGAAGTTTCTGTTTATGCAGTTACAGTTAATAATAAGTGAAATTTGAATCATGTGGTTGAGAGAATGGTATTTAAAATCTTGTTGATACTCAGCAAAAAGAGAAATGCTGGAGGTATCATAATACCCAACTTCAAACTATATTACAAAGCAATAACAATGAAAACAGCATGGTACTGGCACAAAAACAGACACAAAGACCAGTGCAACAGAATAGTGGACCTGGATATGAATCCACACAACTATACCCACCTTATTTTTGATAAAGGTGCTAAAAATATACAATGGAGAAAAGCCAGCCTCTTCAACAAAAGTTGGGAAAAGTGGTTATCTGTCTGCAAAACACTGAAGCTAGATCCATGTTTATCACCCTGTACTAGTATCAACTCAAAATGGATCAAGGACCTTAATATCAGACCCCAAACTCTAAAGTTGGTACAGGAAAGAGTAGGAAACACTTTGGAAGTAATAGGTATAGGCAAGGACTTCCTCAATAGAACCCCAGCAGCTTAGCAACTAAGAGAAAGCATAGACAAATGGGACCTTATAAAACTAAAAACCTTCTGCTGAACAAAAGAAATGGTCTCTAAACTAAAGAGAACACCCATAGAGTGGGAAAAAATATTTGCCAGCTACACATCAAAGGACTGATAACCAGAATATATAGGGAACTCAAAAAACTAAACTCCCAAAATTAATGAACCAATAAAGAAATGGGCAAGTGTACTAAACAGAACTTTCTCAAAAGAAGAAATTCAAATGGCCAAAAACACATGAAAAAATGCTCACCATCCCTAGCAATAAAGGAAATGCAAATTAAAACCACACTAAGATTCCACCTCACCCCTGTTAGAATAGCCATCATTAGCAACACCACTAACATCGGGTGTTGGCGAGGATGTGGGGAAAAAGGAACCCTCTTACACTGCTGGTGGGAATGCAAACTAGTACAACCATTCTGGAAAAAAATTTGGATGCTTCTTAAAAATTTAAACATAGATGTGCCATATGATCCAGCAATACTACTCCTAGGGCTATACCCAAAGGAATGTGACACAGGTTACTCCAGAGGCACCTGCACACCCATGTTTATTGCAGTGCTATTCACAATAGCCAAGTTCTGGAAACAGCCAAGATGTCCCACTACTGACGAATGGATTAGGAAAATGTGGTATTTATACACAATGGAATTTTATGCAGCCATGAAGAAGAATGAAATCTCATCATTCACAAGTAAATGGATGGAATTGGAGAACATCACTCTGATCGAGGTTACCCAGGCTCAGAAGACCAATAATCATATGTTCTCCCTCATATGCGGACTTTAGATCAAGGGCAAATACAGCAAGGTGATTGGACTTTGGTCACATGATAAGGGGAGAGCACACAAGGGAGGTATGAGGATAGGTAAGAAACCCAAAAAACATGATAGTATTTGATGTCCTCAATGCAAAGGAATTAATGCAGAAATTTTAAAGCGACAGAGGCCAATAGGAGAAGGGGATCAGGAACTAGAGAAAAGGTCAGTTTGAGAAGATTCAACTTAGAATGTAACACATACGTACATGGAAGCAATGCTAGGAATCTCCCTGTATAGCTATCCTTATCTCAACTAGCAAAAACACTTTGTCCTTCTTATTAGTGTTTATACTCTCTCTTCAACAAAATTAGAGATAGGGGCAGTACAGTTTCTGCCTGAAAGCGAGGGGGTAAGGGGGGACAGGGAGGGAGGTGGGGGGGAGAAGGGAGGGAGTGGGGCTCAGGGGGGAGAAATGACCCAAACATTGTATGCACATATGAATAAACGAAAAAAATCTTGTTGCTGAAATTTGTGCACAAGGGCATCATACAAATGAGGACAACCTGTAATTAAATGAAAGTGATCAACTAAAGATTCAGTACATTTGATGAGATTTCAGGATTTCAAGTGCTGGGCAACTTGTGATACTTGATCTCTGAGCTATTGAACACCTGATACATTTTATGTAGAAATGTGAATTTGATACTACTCTCCTAGCTTGTTTAATCCTCTTAGGTGCTTCCTTAGAGAGGACCACTCACACCAACTCTCTGGAATAAAACTTCTATGTGTAGTAAAAAAAGCAATGGTTTTAGGTAAATAATAGTGATAGTAATTGTGAATTCACCATGTAGCAAATGAAGTTGAAAGTGAGTTTTTAAAAAATGTTTCATGGACAGCCATAGTGGCACATGCCTATAATGCTAGCACTCAGAGGCTGAAGCATGAGGAGTTTGAGGCCAGGCTGAGTTGTATAGTGAGAACTTGTCCTTAAAGAAAAGGCTTACATATTTCGATGTTCTTATCATTGAAAATGAAACAGAGTAGCAAAGTTAAATTAGTTTTGATACTCTCAGTCAGATAACTCCGTTTTTGTTGTCTTCATTACAAACATAATTTTTCTTAAATGTTATAGAGTCTTTGGGTCAAAATTGAATGATGATTCTTTATTTTTGTTTTCCTACAGGTAAACTGGCACAGAGGCTGATCCCACGATGCCATTAGTGAAGAGAAACATTGATCCTAGGCATTTGTGCCACACAGCACTACCTAGAGGCATTAAGAATGAACTAGAATGTGTAACCAATATTTCCTTGGCAAATATAATTAGACAACTAAGTAGCCTAAGTAAGTATTTTACATCATTTCAAAACTACTCACAAACCAGAATGTTATGCTTTTAGGGGTAGGGGAGGGGGGATATTTGATATAAAGAGTATAATGTTATCCTGAAAAACATAGTTACTTTAAGTAAAATTAATGGATTTTAGAATCATTTCTTCTTCCTGCATTTTTTATGGGAACGGGAAAGAACAAAATGTTTAGGAATAGAATCACATGATAGATGAAGATCACTGAGATTGTTCTTGAAATATGATTTGATCTATGAAAGATAGGACCAGACTCAGACTTTTGTTTGGTTGTTACCTTTATTTACTATTTTTAGAGGCTTCACTTACTTGTGTGTTAGAACACTGGTATCTCTCTTTTTAAATATTTTATTAGTGTAGGGGAATATTTTCATATCAAAGATTTGAAGAGTGAGAGGTCATCATTATTCGGAGGGTTAGGCTAGTCTAGTGAGTTTGTCTAAGGGACATTAGAATATGAGTCAGGGAATCTAACACAGCATGATGTGAAGAGAGCAAGTGAACTTGGCTGCTAGCAGACAAAAGGCAAGCTGATTAGCTGGGGGAGGGAGCAGGTAGAAAGGAAACATGAGATAGAACAGAGGTACTTGGTAAAGGAAGTCAACAAATTCTCATTCTAAATTTAATCAGATAAGAAATTTTAAAATAAATCTAGTCTACCTTTTGAATGGAAGGATTAACTTTTAAATAAGATATCTATATTTCATTTTAAAGATAAAACAAGGTGTTCTTGACCTAGATATATTCTCCAAAGGGTCCTAGATTTAGCCTGCCAGTCATAACTATCAGCATAGATTCTCCTAATATTCAGGCTTGGGTCTTCTTTTCCTTTTATTTTAACTTTTGTCCTTCCTTCCTATAAGTGAGGGCAGTCATCCCTTTGATGCCAAAATCACCAGTGCTCAAGTCCCTTATACAGTATGACATGGTTTCTGCATATAACCTGTGCCCAGTCTCCCATATGCTGCACTTTAAATCATCTGTAGATTACTGATAGCACCTATGCAGTATAAGTGCTATGTAAGTAGTTCTTACGCTGTATTATTAGGGAATAATGAAAAAGAAAAAAGATCTGTTCGTGTTTATTACAGAAGCTATTTTCTCAAATATTTTCTGTCTAAAATTGGATAAATCTGCAGATACAAATCCTATGGATACAGAATCTGAAAGGATCAACTGTACTTAGCACAAGACAAGAGAGGTGGTTAATTTGTTTCAGGTGACAGAGTTTGGGCATATATACCCCTGTAGTTAAAGCAACATAAGAAGTTACATAGATGTTCCTCAGCTTGTGATGTGGTTACATTGCAATAGATGCCTCATAAACTGAAAATATCATGTCAAAAATACTTTAATATGGAAAACCTAGCAAACATCGTAGCTTAGCAACACAGTATACTGTAGGGTATCAGTTGTTTCCCCTGCACGTGGCTGAGTGGGGGCTGTGGCTTGCTGCTACTATGCATTATGAGAGAGTATTGTACCACATATCACTAGTTCAGGAAAAGATCAAAATCCTTATTTCCAAGTATGATTTCTACTGAATACATGTCATTTTTGCACAATTCTAAAGCCAAAAAATTGTTAAGTAGAACCATCATAAGTTGGGGAATCTCTGTATTTAAGTGTTCTTTGTGAGAGTACTAAATTTTGCATTGCCTGTGAAAATAGTTGCAAGAATAGGTAAAAGGCTGTTTGTTTTAATTTGTTTTAGTTATTTTCCTTACTCCTATTGGTGGTTATTTTTTTATAGGTTAGTTATTGACAGAGACTAAAATATTGTATTGTTTACTTGTTTCTTCCATAGGAAAGCCAATATAGAATCTAATTTTGAGACTAGTCAAAAGGAGACTCTGAGAGTACCTAGATACTGCATTAACATATGATTCACCATGTGGTTAAAGACATTTTACTGTCTTTTTTGTGGCCTAACACTGTTTGATCTAATATAACAAAACTTCCTATAAAATTTTTGTTTTATATGTACATGATTGCATCAACATATTAATATATGTTATGAGTAGGAATGACATTGATAATTTTGGATAAAACATTCCTTACAATTAACAGTGAATTTTGAATTTAATATAGCCATCTTGTTTTAGGTACATTCCCAATATAGAATTTAGAGCTAATATGATCATGTTAATTTGTACTGCTAACATACCTTACATAACCTAAAGATGAAAATATAACAACTTTTCAAGCTGATAGAGTCCATATAAGCAATATCTATCAGTAAACACATGGTCATATTGCAACCAAACTCTGGAAATATAAATATATTGCAAAAATATATCTAACTAGGTTTTGGGTATCTCAAATTTGAATTAGACACCACATAGACATTTTCTAAGCAGTTTGTAGAAGTTAAAAAAAATCTATAAAATATTGTAGCAAGATGTAGGAATAGTTTACCACCTAGAAATTAACTTCTGGTAGTTTTTTCACTTGGCATCGTTAAAAACCTGGAATTAAATTTACAAGGCCTCTAGATAGCTAGAATAAATAATTAATCCCCCACAATGAAGAGCCATGTACATAAAATAACCAATTGATCCCTCTCATAGATTCTGTTTACTTTTATTTTGATGGATCAGACAGATTTGGTGATATGGTTTGTAAATATTTAGGCTTCAGAGGATTGAAAGAGGAAGTAGAAGGGGAACATAATAGAAAGAGCCAATACGGAAGCCAACCAAAAAGGGTAGCTTAACAGCCAAGAAGAATTGGCCAAACAGCAGCAATAAAAACTGAAAAGAGGCCATTGAATGTAAAAGCAAATATTTTTATGAATTTCAAGGCTGTTTGCTGGACCAGGACAATGATTGGTTTTCATAAATAATTCATGGCTATAAATCCTCAAGAAAAGGTTAAATTATATTTCATTCTGTATTCATTTCATTTAAGAAGACAGGGAAACTTATATTTTATAACACAGTTTTCATCCAAAATAGTTAAAATAATAATTGATATATATAATGGTTTCTGAGTTATGTAGAAAACCCAAATTTTCTATCTAAAATGGTTCTCGATAATTAGGGTTTTCACTTTGGTACTGTTGTTAGAAGCACCAAAAGTGCTTGAGAACACAGTAATGAAAGTAAATTGTAGGGTTCCATATGACATAGGGCCAAATAGCTTCCTGGCTTTTTCTTAAAAATACACATCTTGGGCTGGTGGAGTGCCTCAAGTATAAAAGTGCCTGCCTAGTGAGCGTGAGGCCAAGTTCAAACTTCAGTGCTGCGGAAAAAAAAAAAAAAGAAAAAAAAATATATATGTCAGTCATATTTTATGAAATTTTCCCCCCTACTAGAACATAATTTTGCTTTGTAATAGATAATTAGTAAAAATATGAAATACACTTTATATAAATTTTCTCTTCTCCATTTTATTCTTATCTTAACCATTGGGACTTTGATAACCTAAGGGATCTTTTACCATTCTCTTTTCCTATGGTTTTTCTCTTGTTGAATACAAGAGCAGTTCATACTGCTGAGATGAGCTGATAAAGTCTGCTTGCTTTCAAACATAATTTGGCAGATAGAAAGTCTCTTGGCTCATTTTCTGTTGCTGTAATGAAATACTGGAAGCTGGATAATTATACAGAAAAGAGGTACATTTCATTCATACTTTTGGAGGCTGAAAGTCCAAGAATGAGTAGCCCATGTGTCATCCTCTGGTGAAGGTGCTATTGATTGGATCATAATATGATGAAAAAACGGAAAGGGAATCAGGTGCTTTGACTTTTAAATTGTGTGTATGGTGGTGGTGATGGCGGTGGGGGTGATCAAAGATTCTTTTTAATAGAATTGTTGCACAACCATAGGCCCTCTCTCAAGAAAAATGCACATGCATTTAAAAATTTGCATATAAATTTCAGACTATAAGTTGAAGTTCTCCATATTAAAGTAAACTCTTTTAGGGTGAAATTGCCTCTTCCATCTCTGTATCCCTAACCTTAGTATCCATATATAACATTTATTGGATAAGTGAATAACTTTATACCTCCCATATCTTCCAGGGACAGTGTGTCTCAGAAGTATCTTTGAACACCATTCCACCCCTGAAAGTTGGGTGCTTCTGTCTCTGCTCTGTGGCTCTTACCTGATACTATACTAAGAGCTACCTATTTTGAACTCCTACTCTGTATCAGAAATATTACCAGGCCCTTTGCTGTCTATCTCCTTAAAACTTCTTTCAGGAACAGATATTTTTATTTCTATTTGACAGTTGAAGAAACTAATATTAGTATCTCATAGTGAATGTAGCAAAGATTTGGACTTCTGTTTATTATAGTATTTTTCATATTTGTTTAAATGTCTCTTGTCTCCCTCTGTTTAAAATTTTTCATCAGTGGCAGAGACCTTTTTCCAGTTATTTTGTCTTTCTCTTTTTACTAATAAGGACTTACATAGCTAGAGAAATTCAAGGATTTTTAGGTTTTGATGCTTTTTCTTAAATTATGAGAAGGCAAAATATCATAAGATTTCACATATCTGAGACAGGACATGGGTCTTTGAAGAATCTTGCATTCTACCACCCCTCCTAAAATTCAGCTGTAGTATATTGTCTATGTGATGATTTTGGATTTAAAGATGTTATTATTTGTATGTATTTTTACCTCATAGTCTTCCCTAATCCTCATCAGGTAGATATGGGTAAAGCAAGTAGAGTATTTCCATTTTAAATGCAAGTCATCCAGCAGAAAATGGTAGAGAAGGATTTGAAATCAATTTTCCAGGGTTTGTGGGGTTTTTCCCCTCATTCTATTATGACTAAGTGACTTTAGGCTAGGATTTAAAGTTTAAAAGAGTTCCAAATAAGTGCCAAATTCAAACAGGTCAGCACTTTTAAAATGTTCAAGTGTTCAATAGTTGTATCTGATCATGATTACATTACATCTTATGGTGTATGTTTCATTTTTCTTAGGTAAATATGCTGAAGATATATTTGGAGAATTATTCAATGAAGCACATAGTTTTTCCTTCAGAGTTAACTCATTGCAAGAACGTGTGGATCGTTTATCTGTTAGCGTTACCCAGCTTGATCCTAAAGAAGAAGAATGTAAGTTTATTCATATATTTTCTTTACATACAGATTTTAAGATAGATGAGATGAGCAATATATTTAAGAAGAGCATTAAGTGGTGGGGCCATGACCAAATTGTAGAGCGCCTGCTTAGTAAGCACTAAGTCCTGAGTTCAAACCCCAGGACTGCAAAAAAATAGGATAGTGTTAAGCATGAGTTTATTACAAATTGTTTTACCCATGACCTTTAACGTGCATACTATAATAAATCATGACTTTCAACTTTTTTGTCTCTTCCTTTTGTACACTATGTAACTCACAATATTTTGACTAAAGAAGACATTTTAGCCAATTGTTTTTCTCTTTTCTCTCTTATAATTAATTTGTATGCTTTTTCATCTTAGTGATAAAAGTTATTTGAAAAGTACCTGATTCTGTAAAAATGCATATTGCAAAACTCCTATCTAGTTATTTAATTGAATATTATTACCCACTTGAAATGATCATTCCATAACCAAATTGCCAATATGTAAGGCATAACTGTTCTATGCCAAGATTAAGTCAGGAATATTGGGTAAAAAAAAAAAAAAAGCCATGTTGTTGGATAAGATAATGGTAGAAATTTTAGTGATAAAAGCACACTTGACACCTTGACAGAATACTTTGAATGCTGATATTTTCCAAATGCCTCTTTGTATTTTTTTTACTTACCTAAAGAAATGAACTATTAAGTTCATAATTTTCACTTATCTATTATAGAGGTTTTTTTTTTTTTCGGTTTGGTGGGACTGGGGTTTGAACTCAGGGCTTTGTGCTTACAAAGCAGGAGCTCTATCACTTCAGCCACACTTTAGTCCCAAAATATTTTTGTTGAATAACATTCTTAACATAAATACAAGCGATAATAGATCTAATCTTGAGCAATGAAAATATTTAAGGATATCACTGGAAAAAGCAAAATGTGGAATGTAGTAATGAATGTTTGGGGATTGAACAAAGTGCTCTTTTTGGGATTGTGGGGGTGGTCCTGGGGTTTGACCTCAGAGCTTCTTGCTTGCAAAGTAGGCACTCTACCACTTGAGCCAGATCCAACCCTTTTTGCTTTGGTTATTTTAGAGATGGGTCTTGCTGACCTGGACTGCAATCCTAGTTCCTGCTGTAGTGGAATGACAAGCATTGTGTCACCACACCCAGCTATTGGTTGAGATGGGGTCTCACGAACTTTTTACCCAGTCTGGCCTCCAATCATGATCCTCTTGATTTAAGCTTTTCATGTAGCTAGGATTATAGGTATGAGCCACCACCACCCAACTTGAAAAAACTACTTTGACCTATCATATTTAATGTGTAAATAAAGAGAGGCAAATACCATGCTGAGTTACTACTGCTAATAAAAATATAAACTCATAGCTCTGGGTGCAAGGAAAAAGAAAAAATGGCACTTAAAAAAAACCAGGTTTATTTAATTTATTCATTTCACATCCTACACCTTATAGTTCATGCATTTCAAGTGTACAGTTCGTTGGAGATTTTTAGCATTTTCAACAGTTATATGACCACAGACAATTTAAAAACATTATCACTCCAAACAGAAGCCCCCTTCTCCTTAGCAGTCACTTTCCATTCTCTCTCCCCCCACCCTGCCCCTAGCAATGACTAATCTACTTTCTGTGTTTATGGATTTGCCTGTTCTGGACATTGCATGTGAGTGAATAATAGATGGTCTTTTGTGATGGACTTCCACTTAATATCATGTGTTCAGGGTTCATTCATGTTACAGCTTGTGTTTGAATTGCACTATAACTAATGACGTTGAGCATCTTTTTGTCTGCTTCTTGGAGAAATATCCATTTGATTTTTTGTCCATTTTTTTCCCTTCTCTCCTACCCCATCTCTTTGTTCATTTTTAAATTGAATTATTTGTCTTTTTATTTCAGGTTGTAAAAATTGTTTCTTTATTCTGCATCCAAATCTTCTGTCTTTATATACATGATTTGCAATCATTTTCTACCATTTGTAAGTTGTCTTTCTTGGTGGTAGTAATGTACGTGTACATTAATTACACTTCATGAAATTCTTCAAATGAAATAATTGCTAGTGGTGAAAAAAAATGGTCATCCATACTTCAAAATATATAATTTATATCCAAAATTATGTTTTTAAAAACTCAAAACATTTTGTTACAAATGTATATCATCTGATGTACATACAGAAACACATGCATTTTTTCATATGTAACAGAAATAAAAATTAACATTTAATTTCATAATGCTTCTAAATTTTAACAAATGTCTTAGCACCACCATTAAACTTGTAAGTGAAAATACAGATACAAGTATATAACTTAAGGTGTATGTATTTCAGAATTGTACATAATTTCCTTTCAAATTATGTGGAACAGTAGGGAAGAATTCAGAATCTAAAAGCTGAACCATTTAATTTGAATTGTTTTGGGGAGGTTGCATAGAATAAATTTTCAGTTACTTAACCTAAGTTTTGAAACTCAGTGGGAGTTCAAACAAAATGATATTATAAATATATTATTAAATTACAGAGAGTGACATCAATATTTTTGTTGCCATTAGGTAAGTAAGTAACAGTGAAAATTACCAATATAATTTAGAAAATATTTTAAAATGAGTTATAAACAAAGACTTGTGCAATTATATTTAATTCAATTATATTTACAAATATATTGCACTAACTTACTGTGCATATAATACTGTTTAAGCAATATCAGATATTATTTTTGGAAAATGGAATGAGTTTTGTTACAGAGGTCTGTTTGGAATGAGATGAGTGAGAGGATTTGAATATAGAAAAACACATCATGTTTACTATTTTACCTGTTCTTTATATCATTTACTAAGAATGTTTTGGGTGATTAAACACTAGTTTCCATCTTGGATACATGCTTAGGGATAATAAGTAGAATGGTGTGAAGAATTGAGCAATGTTGATTGCCAAAAATACATACTGCTTCTGACAGCCTGAGAATAATGGGTGATATTATAGCAAAAGAATTAGCCTCTTTCTGGCTCTGCTGCATAACCATTTACTTTGGACCAGTTTATATTTCAAAGCCTTGGTATTCTTGGAACTATAATTCCTATCTCACTGAATTATTGTGATGGTTAAATGAAAATTAGTGAAAGCATCTAACGTGCATAGTGAATATCTCCTATACCACTCTTGATAGTGAGGATTTTTTCCTTCCTTTGAATTTTATTTTGGTGTTTATGTGTTACAAGTCATGTGTCAGTGGAATTGTTGGAAATGAAGTTTTGATGTGACTGTTGCAGAGCCAGTGTCATCACTCCAGTATTGCTATAGGATCAAATGTTCATACTGAGGGAATTTTAATTGTGACAATGATAAAGATACTGTTTTGGGGAGAAAAATAGTTTAAAATTTGTTATATCATTCAGTACTGATCTGGCTATGGTGTGAAACACTGATGTCTATACATAAAGCCATATTACATATGTAGGAAATTGCCTACTTTTTTAATGTGAGGAAATCATTTGAAGCATTAAGATTGCAATATTTTGATAATTTCTTATTTTGACATGCTGGACAGCCCAAAAGAAAGTAATTTTAAAGCATCATATATGTGATAGGGCTGTGCCAGTTACTGGAGAGACTAATCCACAAGACAGTCACGGTCTTCAAGAACTTGTGGTTAGGTAGAAATCCTTGTAATAGAAATAAATGGTAAGTGAAATAGAGGATGATATAGATTACCGAGTACTTGAAAATCATTTTATCTGTAGTAGTTTGTTTTACCCTTATAACACATGTGTAACATTAGTGTACATATAGCAAGAGTTCTACCCTGTGTGGCCCAGAATACTGCTAATAACCAAGTGATCCCTTCAGTTATCGCTGACTATAAAGTAGTAAGTAGGAATAAAGTGAGATGGGAACAAGAGATTACAGAGGAAAATAAGAGAATCTAAATTGGCAGGGGCCAAGAACAAGTAAAGAAAAGAAAAATAAATATTTAGTGGGAAATGAGATGCTTCAGGCATCATTAGGGCCTTCTGTCTGATTGGGAAAATAAGCCACAGAATGATAGGGATCGTTATTATATTTATTATTATATTTATCATTAAAATGGCTTCTGATTCATAAATGAGTCATTAAGGTCACAACTTTTAAGCATGCTGACTTTCAAACAAATATAGACTGTAAATTGGTTCTTATGGTTAAATAATCTTAGGAAAATAAAATGAATTATTCTTTTTTTAGTGTCTTTGCAAGATATCACCATGAGAAAAGCTTTCCGAAGCTCTACAATTCAAGATCAGCAGCTTTTCGACCGCAAGACTTTGCCTATTCCATTACAGGAGACATACGATGTGTGTGAACAACCTCCACCTCTCAATATACTCACTCCTTATAGGTCAGTAGGGCAATATGGAGGAAGTCCTGTATCTCAAACTTCAGATTTAAATGCCAAATCCCCACACATTCTTTTATTTCACTGGGCTCTGGCCAACAGAGAGCCCGCCCTACCTACTGTGTTCAGAAAAAACCTTTGCTTCATTCACTACATGAGTTTCTAAGGTTCTGAAATACAAGACAGAACCCATTCAAGGAAGTTGTTTTGACAAGTATTATTAAGAAAACCTACTGGCAAATCTACTAATATCAAGGAATTGTAATCAGTCTTTCAACTTAATTTTTAATCAAAGGAAGCTAAATTCAAAATTCCACCAAACTAAAAAGAACTAATCATATTTGCTTCTTGTCTACCCTTGATATGTATTGTGTACATTAATTTTCTACGTAATGTATATGTAGTATCTGTTTAAAATGCTTTCTACCACATGAAATGAAATCTGGAACTATTCCATCTTTCTTTGGGGTGATTACACATGATTTTAAATAGTAATGAGATGCACAACACATATCCTGAGTAAAATGATTTTCAATAGTATTTAAAACTGTAAATCAGTATGCACATCATTGGGTATAAATGTTCTTATTAGAATAACTATTAAGAGAAATCATTTAGATATAGAAAGATAATAAATACATTATAGTACTGGCAGAACTGTAAGATTTGTCTGTTCTAAATGATATTACTGTCTTTTCAGCTTTTATCTTTGGCAGAACTGTTTGTAATTATTGAAATTTCTCAAAGGACTTAAAAAATTTGGTATTCAGTTTTGATATTCAGCAGAAGTTAGGCATTAAAGTTGTACTTTAAACCATTAGTTTAAAGCACTGAGTTTTCTATTTTCTTCAGTTTCCTTTCTGATTTGTACAAAATTTTGTCTTGCTACAGTATTCTATTTTGGCAGCATTTATCTACCGATTTATTTAGGGACATGATTTTGCTATGTAGCCCAGGCTGCCCTCAAACTCATAATCCTCCTGCCTCACTCTCTTGAGTGCTGGAATTACAGGCTTACACTACCACGCCCAGGTTGCTACATTTTATTAATATGAGGAAAAAGATTTCAGCAAAACGATTCCTATTCTGATGGCCTCTGCTTTACTAAATATATTTTACTTGATGTGTTATATTTCAGAGATGATTACTGAATATATTTTAATTTATGTTATATTTCAGAGATGATGGTAAAGAAGGTTTGAAGTTTTATACCAATCCTTCATATTTCTTTGACCTATGGAAAGAAAAAATGTTGCAGGATACAGAGGATAAGAGGAAGGAAAAGAGAAAGCAAAAGGTATTACAGGAGATTTAAAAACTTGAAGTTTTTTGTGTCTTTATGTTTTGTTGCATGTGTGGAATTTTGTTGGTCCTGTACATTGACAGTCTTATTTTATTGGGTCCATCTGCTAAAGACTTTATAACTATACAGATCAGCGTTATGAGGAACAGGTAAGCATTCAGATTATTCTACTATGATATAATAGGTGCCCTGACAGAGATATTTATGGAAGGTTTGGCTAGAACAAAATAGTATTTCTTTAGCCAGCAGACAGGGTCAATAAACCCTTCCAACAAAACTTATAATAAATCTTGAAGAATAAATAGGAATTAAGTGGACCAAGAAAGGGAAGGGCATTCTAGTACAAAAACAAAGGGTAAAGTAAGTAAATTAAGCTAACGGAGAATATCCTAAATGTTTTCTAAATGTTTTGGAGAGGTTATTTTTTTTTTGCTAAATTCCTGTTGTTCTGTCTTCTGTGTTGTCACTGTCCACTTTCTGATAAAATTCACTTAAATCTTTTATTTCATATTAATGCTAATAGAAAATAAAAAAGAAAGAAGCAAGTTGAATTTAGGAAGGAGTATGGAGGCAAAGTCTGTCCTCATCATTCCTCTGTTTGTTCTGTGGTTTATTTCTACTTTCCCCAACCCCCATAAATACTCTCTTGTTATAATCTGTGCTGGACAGTGTCCCTGTGTTCTAGCTAGAGTTTTGCAGGCTGGTGAATGGCAAGCCAGGTTATGCCTGCAGTCAGGTTTTGTTTGCCAAGCAAGGGTTTTAAAATTTTTGAAGTGCAGTTTCTTAAATGGACATGTCTGTCATTTCAGCGTATGCGATATCTTAACCTGACTGGTTTCATTCATGTCTGTATCTGCTGAGCCCATTTGGGAATTTGGTATTTGTCATACCTACTCTAGACTTTTCTGTGCTTTCTCCTCTTATTTGCCTCACTTTTTGTTTTATCATTTAAAGACCCTTTTTTCTGTTGAGTGATATAGCTATTATGGGTTAATTGGATAATTAATTTTTTTTTCATGTGTCAGACTGCTAACTGGCCCCTTCTCCGATAAGATTACCTTAGTAAATTTTCACATTTGCTTAGGAGTGGACAGTGTCAGCCATGGTAAAAATTTGAAACTAAAAGATGTGAGAGTAAAGGTTGATGAATTTTTTTTCCATCTGAAAGGACTTTCTGACCTCAAATTTTATTTCTTTAGCATACTATTTTGTATCTGGTGCATCACTTCAAAATTGAGGTTAAAAAGTGTGGCAAGAAACTGGACTTAACAAACTGGCTAAGATTTAACTCTGAATATACAAGTAAATGTCTCAACGTTATTTTTACTGTATTATGATGACATTGTCCTTTTCAATATTGATGTTAGAATTATAGTTTGATTGTTATAACCTCTTTAAAAAAATAGCACTTTAGCATTTGGCTTTGTTTCAATACATCTGTTATAGCAGAAAAATCTAGATCGTCCTCATGAACCAGAAAAAGTGCCAAGAGCACCTCATGACAGGCGGAGAGAATGGCAGAAGCTGGCCCAAGGTCCCGAGCTGGCTGAAGATGACGCTAATCTCTTACATAAGCACATTGAAGTTGCTAATGGCCCAGCTTCTCATTTTGAAACAAGGTTTCTTCTCTTTGCTTCTTTCATTTTTTTGTTGTTTTAAATTACTGGTAAAGCATTAGCTTTATGTATGATATCTATACTCCTAAATCTTTGTTCCTGAACTGTTGAACTGGAGGATTCTGTTGTAAATATAAAGACGATTTTGAATCCCTGATTACTGAGCCTACTGAAGCCTGACCTTGGGCAGTTCATTTTCTTACTTGGACTTGAGTTTTGTCATCTGTAGAAAGAAATGATTACAGTAAATGATTTTCAGGTTTGCTTTAGCTTTCATCTGAAGTCCAAACTCCCTCTGAATATTTCAGACAGAGTTTTGCTAGAACTTCATAATAGAGTGGGCTTGGAGTTTATTTTGAAGTATTACTGATTTATTGAATACAAAATAGAAGTTGAGAAGGGGTTCTGTTCTGTCCTTTTTCTGTCCATCCCCTGACTTCTTTCTATGTCACATCCCAACCACAATATATCTGGGCTTGCAAATAAAATTATTCATCTTCTTTTCAGAAATACAGAATAGGTCCTATTCCTTTCTCAGTGACCCAGGGCCCTATCTGAGTAACATGCCATCAGAGCAAACACATTATACTGCATATCTCTTTGAAGAATTGTCATATTGATTTTTAATGGAAAAACCTTAACATTTTCTTTTGAATAATGTAAATTATTGGGCCATAAATGTGAGATATCTTGGCATATTTTAAGAGAAATGTACATATAAGAGATACTGTTGATCTGCATTACTGAAACTGAAAGAATAGAGATTTTTAAATATGATCTGTAGATTATCTGTACATAAGTAATTAGGTATTAGTATGAATATGGCAATTCCTGACTTGCTGTGTACACATCTGTTAAATTCAGCTTTGTTCTCAGAATGCACTGCATCATATAAACCTTCACGTACTCAAGCTAAAATTTTGCTTGAGCTTGACCTAAGTCACATGCTACTGTTAGCATATATTTTTCTGAGTACACTTACACCTTTGAAATACTAAAAGGACAAGAATAATATAGCTAGCCATCTGTATGACACTAGAACCGGGGATGTCTTTCTCCCTGGTGCAACACTTCTGGATGTCACAATTTTAAGATAATAAGATATCCATGTGGTAGTAAATTTCAGTTTTCATATTCTACCTTTCTGTCACTGGTAGTTACTTATAAAGAAAAAAATGAAATAGAGGTAGATCATTTTTTTAACATGATTTGCTAGAAGTTATTTTCATGTTTATAAGTTTGTATGTGTAATACTTTAACTCTCATAAGTTGAATTAGTATTCTATTAAAAGATAATAAAATAACTGATAATCATAATAAACTTAAACTAGCAAGTACAGGTTGCATTATGGGCAGTATTGTTTGTTTTAAAAGCAGGACTAATGTGATAAATTTCTGTAAGAAGTTTTTACAAAGTAGTTAAATATTGGCATTCAAATGATAAACTTTAAATATTTCATGTAGAGCACTTTATTTCAACCATAATTCAAGAAAAAACGCTAATATTATACATTTTTTTTAGGCCTCAGACATACGTGGACCATATGGATGGATCTTACTCACTTTCTGCTTTGCCATTTAGTCAGATGAGTGAGCTTCTGACTAGAGCTGAGGAAAGGGTGTTAGTCAGACCACACGAACCACCTCCACCTCCACCAATGCATGGAGCAGGAGAGTCGAAACCTATACCCACCTGTATCAGGTATGTGGGAACAAACAGGCTTTTTATCATAGGTATCAGAAGCCTTTTTCTTTAAAGGACCAGACAGTAAATATTTTAGATTTTCTGGGCCTGTGGTTTCTATCACAAGTACTCGATTCTGCCATTGTATGAAAGCAGTCATAGACTGTACATACATAAATGAACATGTGCATGTTTCATAAAATTTTATTTACAGGAACAAGTCGCTGATCACATGTAGCCTGTGGAATATAATTTGCCATCCTCTGAGTAGACAAATTCTCCTGGGGAAATTTAGCTATTAAGAATTTACTTTAGATTAAATTGTTTTCCATTGCAGTTACTGCTTTGTTATCAGTGAATTAACAACAAAATAATTTTGTAGAATGTGATAATGGTTCTAATAAGTGGGATCCAAAGATGTGGTTATGAATGTCAGTTTGATTTTAAGAAAATAAGAATTTCAAAGACAGTAGGCAGTTGCTTGTAACAACCTTTCAGTAAAGCTATTTTGAAGTTTAGTATGGTCTGTTATCCACCTTACACATTTTTGATAGAGAAATATTACAGAAGTTTTCTAGCAGAGAAATAGAGATCAGCTTTGCACTTTTCAGTTAAAATCAACCTTGTATCGACTCATTTGATGTTGCAGCTGAGGAGGAAAGAGGGTTGTAAATTTCCTTTTGTGGTTTTTAATTAGCTGTCATGGACTTCATTGAAATGACATACGCTGAGCCTTAGTAACTGCAATATAAATACAGCCTTGTATTGGCCAAGTATTGCTACAAATATTGCAAATAAGATGAATGTTGTCATTACAGAGACTTGTATCATGGTGTAGAATTGAGCATTTTATTTGTCAAAGTAAGCATAAAATGCTTGAGTGAATACGGAAGTTGCATGAGAAGATGAGACTGTTGAGTTTGAAAACCAAAGCAGCACTTACTGATTTTCTTGTTGCATTTTTAGTTGTTTCTTTTGAAATAATGTTGAAGAATTTAAAATTTCTACAGGGTCATGTTAATGCATGTACTTTGATATAATTACTGATAATCATTTATAGTTTCTACAGTTGTTTTCTTTTTAGTTTTTCTGTTTTAATAAATGCTAGGATCTCTTTATCATTTCAGTTCTGCTACAGGTTTGATAGAAAATCGCCCTCAGTCACCAGCTACAGGCAGAACACCTGTGTTTGTGAGCCCTACTCCCCCACCTCCTCCACCACCTCTTCCATCTGCCTTGTCAACTTCTTCATTGAGAGCTTCAATGACCTCAACTCCTCCCCCGCCAGTACCTCCCCCACCTCCACCTCCAACCACTGCTTTGCAAGCTCCAGCAGTACCACCACCTCCAGCTCCTCTGCAGATTGCCCCTGGAGTTCTTCACCCTGCTCCTCCTCCAATTGCACCTCCTCTAGTTCAGCCCTCTCCGCCAATAGCTAGAGCTGCCCCAGTATGTGAGACTGTACCAGTTCATCCACTCCCACAAGGTGAAGTGCAGGCGCTGCCTCCACCCCCACCACCGCCGCCTCTGCCTCCACCTGGCATTCGGCCATCATCACCTGTCACAGTTGCAGCTCTTGCTCATCCTCCCTCTGGGCTGCATCCAACTCCATCCACCGCCCCAGGTCCCCATGTTCCATTAATGCCTCCATCTCCTCCATCACAAGTTATACCTGCTTCTGAGCCAAAGCGTCATCCATCAACCCTACCTGTAATCAGTGATGCCAGGAGTGTACTGCTGGAAGCAATACGAAAAGGTAATTTTCTCAGGGCCATGAAAAGCATCATTACTGTAGCAATGGAAATTTTCTGAGTATTAAAGGCAGTAATGTAGTCCTCATTTATTAAGTTTTGGGTGGTCATGTTTTTGTGCAAATGGCATTTAGACAGTAAAGCTCTGTCCAACTTATATCTAAACCATTTTCAAGAAAATACAACACATTTAATCATTTTGTGTGCATACTCAGTAGGGATTCTGTTTTTCTTTTTTCCTTTTTGGACAGTAATAGGGCTTGAATTCAGGGTGCTGACCTTACTGGGCAAGTGCTCTACCACTTGAGCCATGCCTCCAGCCCTTCTTGCCTTAGGTTATTTTTCAGATCGGGTCTTGTACATTTTGCCTGAGCCGACCTCAGATCATGATTCTTCTAGTTATGCCTCATGTACAGCTGGTATTACCAGGTACACACCACCATACCCAGCTTGTTTGTCAAGGTGGGGTCTTGTTTTTTATCTCTGGCTCCTGAGTAGATGAGATTATACATGTGAGCCACTGCGCCTGGCCAGTCGGGGTTCTTAAAACATTTATTGAGTGAATGAGAAATTTAACAAAATGGTATTTTCTTCAGTGTTGAAGCTATTTCCTTAAGGTATCAGTAACTTGTTCTACCAGATACCTGTAAGGGATTAAGGTACTTAGGGCTGGAGGCGTGGCTCAAGTGATCGAGCACCTGCCTAGCAACTGTGAGCCCTTGAGTTCAAACCCCAGTACTGTCAAAGGGGAAAAAAGATGAAGGTTCTTTTCTTAGTAATAAAAGAAAGACTTCTTCTGTTTATCCTGAATTCAGTCAATGTAAGCTGCTGTTATATGCCAGGCACTGACAGTACAGGGTGAATAATAGTGCATCTTCTTCAAGGACAGGGTATACGGAAGCTGTAAAATACATTCAGCAGAATATATATTCAAATATTTCATCTGTTTGACTGTAGAGGTGGTAGAAGACATAAGTCACCAGGTTAACTTTTTGGGGGTGGTAAGTAGGTGTAGTAGAGCGTGATGGGAAAATGAACTATGGATATCCACTGGGATATCTGGTAAATTTCACCAACTGATTCACAGATGGCATGCAATGAAAGCTTTAATCACTCTCAAAATAGCCTCAAGTTGTTTTAACAGATCTTGCTTTTTATTTTCCTGTTTTTATTTTCTCATACATATTTGACTTTGTTCCAGAAAGGTTAATAATATCTAATGTTTAGCATTTTGACTTTAAATGAATGGTTTGGATTTACTGTATCAGGTATTCAGCTCCGCAAAGTAGAAGAGCAGCGTGAGCAGGAAGCTAAACACGAGCGTATTGAAAATGACGTGGCCACAATCCTGTCTCGCCGTATTGCTGTGGAGTACAGTGACTCGGAAGATGATTCGGAGTTTGATGAAGTAGACTGGTTGGAGTAAGAAAAAATGCATTGCTAAATATTACAAAACTGAATGCAAATGTCCTTTGTGGTGCTTGTTCTTTGAAAATGTTTGGTCATTCTAGTGTTTTGCTTTCTATTCCTTATAATAAATAACCCTTTTCCTCCATAACTTTTGATTCCTAAGAAAAATATTAGCATACATTTCAAACTAAATATTTTATAGTGGCTTATTTTTTTTCCCTGAAAAGACATAATTTGATCCAATAAACCACTAAGTATTAAGCATGGACAGCTGTTAGAGTAGCAGATTCAGTTTCTTGATATACCTTAATTGTGCACTTTGTGAATTTTAATTTAAAGGAAGTAACTGAGATGAAATCTTGAGGGCAGCTGTATCTATTAATGAGCCTTACTCTATTTCCTGATGTTTTAAAAGAAGAAACACTGCCTTGACTCTGGATACACAGAAAGTACATTTAGCTTGTAGTGTTGAATTCTCTTAAAGGAATGCTTAAAGTTTTTGTTATTATTTTGTTTTAAATACTTGCCTTATTTGAATGTTTAGCAGTACCCCTTTCCCACTTAAATATTGTATGGTACAATTTTGCTTGCCTATAGGAGTTTAAAATTTTTCCATGTGAAATATTCTGAATTAAACATACATGTAACTTACGTAACTGTTAAGAATAACAGTCTCATTTAATAAATGGTTTGTTTTAAAGGTACATGGCTGTTGCTCCTTGACTAAAACTATAGTTTATAAAGTAGGTTCTAAATACATAGATAGCAAATGAAAATTTAAAAAAACACTTCAGCTGTATAATTTCTTCTTAGTTCTCCATATTCACATTGCTTAGCATGTAAGGTAGTTAAAAGTTTTTGGTTTTTTGGTGGTGCTAATAGAGTTTGCTGTGGTTATTTTGGAGGCAGGGTCTTGCTTTTTGCCCAGGCTGGCCTGGACCGTGATTCTTCTATTTTAAGCTTTCTGCCATTGCCGGGATGACAGGCATGCACCATTGCTTTTTCCTGTTGAGATGGGGGTCTCACAAATTTTTCTGCCCTGGATGGCCTGGAGCCATGATCCTCCCTATCTCAGCCTCCTGCATAGCTTGGGATGATGACAGATGTGAGCCACTGGCACCCCACTGTAAGGCAGTTTTTATGTCACTTTTTTCTAAGGTTATAAAGTCCACATTTCTCAACTCATTGTGATCTTACATTAACATCTCAACTTGCCATCTAATTTCAGCATGCCTTGTCTTAATTTAATAGCATTCTTATTATATCTTATAATAATGAGTTGCTTGTGTTCACATAGTCAGATGCAGGAATGGAGGGGAAGCAGCAGTAATATTAGATTACTTTAAAAAGACTAAGTGAACCAGGCACACAAGTTCCTGTAAAACTAACACTTGGGAGGCTGAGTTAGGAGGATAGTGAGTTTGAAGCCAGTCTGGTCTATAGAGCAAGACCCTCCTCAAAAAAAAGAAAAGGGAAGGGGAGGGTTGGGGAGGAATGGAAGGAGAAAGGAAAGGAAGGGAGGGAGGGAGGGAGGAAGGAAGGAAAGAATGGAGGGAAAGGAAAGAAAAGAAAAGAAGACTAAAGGAGGTATGGGTTGGTAATTTAACTTTAAAACTGACCGCTGTCTTCAACCTTGCCTGTATCCACTCCTTTTGTGATGTGGTTTCCAGCTCTTCCCATCAAGAGGTGAGTTTCATTCCCACTCCCTAAAATCTGGGTGTCCCTAAGACTTGCATTGGCCAATAGCATGTGACAAAAGTGATGTTGTGCAAATTCTAAACCTAGGAGTCCTTGCAAACTTCTCTCTCTCTCTCTCTCTCGCTCTCTCTCTCACTCTCCAAGATCCCTTTCTCTTCTTTGTAAACAAGTCCAGGCTGCCTCCTGAAGATCAGAAACCTCATGGAGGAAAATTATTCCAGGAGAGACCATCTTAAGCCAGTCAAGACCAAGCTTACCTGTTGCTGACTATACAAGCCTAGCCACTGACCTATAAATTTATGAACAAAAATAAATACCCCTAAGTTTTGAGATGTAGCTTTATTTTGGCAGTAGATCATTGATACATGTAGTCACTTGATAACTTGATTATTTGGAGCTTATTTAAGCAAATGACCAATAACCTGTAAATTGTAAAGTGGAAATAATGAACGAAGTTCAATTGTAGCAATTCAGTTTGGATATAAAAGACATTTTCTAATGGAAGGATTTGATTTGTTCTTTTAGATAGCTTACATTTGGAACAAGAGCCTACATCGCTCTTGAGGTTCCTTTTCTAGCCTTATGAAAATGTAGTATCAAATTTAACTCAAGACAACATGACATGATTTAAAGTCTGTCTTCCTAAGTGCTTATGGTTAAAAGGTAGCAATGTGTGTATATTTTTTATAAGCTTACTGTGACCAGATAACACAAATGTAATGATACTTGTATTGGAGCAATTAAGGCTGACACAAAGGGAAATTAAGGAAAATTTTCTGATAATAAAAGTAGACATGTTAATCAGTAGTACCCAGTAGTATATGTCCTAAGTGGTTTATGATAGATTTTGGTTTTTTGTTCTTGAAAACATTCCTGGAAAATAAGAAAGGGCCTGCACTGAGGAATCCAGAGATGTAGTGTTAATTTTAAAATCAAAATAACCAGGTTAGATGTGGTGGTACATTATAATCCCAGCTACTCAGGAGGTAAAGATAGCAGGAACAGGGGTATGACTGAACTGACAGAGTGCTGATCAAGTGCAAGGTCCTGAGTTCAATCCCCTGTACCACCTCTTCCCCCACCCCAACACCCCTACAAAATAACCTTTTAGTCTAGATATTCACCTTAACTTGCTGAGAGAATTTTAAAACAAATAATCATTTAAGGGTGATTTTTATTACCATAAGAAATCCTCTTATTGGATTATTTTACTATTCAACAGGGTTATATACAAATATAGAATCAGAAAAAGAATCAATTATATGGGGAAATTATTGGCCTTTTGATTGATGTCATATTTACCTCATTATTACCAAATCCAGTGACATTTTTTAGTTTTTAATTTATTTTACCTCCTTGAAATTTCAACAGCCTCCCCCACCCCCCTTTGGCATTTGTGATACTTCCTTCTCCTTTTTCTTCCCAATAATGGTGAGAAGAAAGGAAGAAAGGGAAATACTACCTAGCAGCAGAGATGTTTGGAATGAAATGCAGTCATTGTGGAAGAAAAGAGTTTCTCTGTCTTTTCCTAAGTTAAGGGATACTCATAAGGTTTAGATTTATAAACTGTTATAAAGACTTATCACCGTGGTCTTCTAAAACTATAATAATTTGGTTAGGTGAAATGACTTCCAAAGGATTTTGGTATACAAATATTTATTAAATGATAAATAAGAATTTGACTTATGTTAGGTAAATTATGAAATATCTCCTCCTATTTCCACTTTTAGAAAGCCCTATCCTTTTCATAACCACCATCTCACATCCATATTCTCATGAATTCTTCTCCGATCAGCAGAACTAGAGTTAAATTCCTTTTGACTTTGTCTAATTCTTTTATCGTAAGCTTTCCACAAGTAATACACTATTTTGCATTGCAGTTATTACCTATTTGAGCTTGCCAAGTAGTTTATGGCAGGGGAGGGAGGCTGAATTAAATAGGCAATTCACAGTATTTTTTCTTATAAAACAGGTTCAGTAATGCCCCTTTTTTGTTCTGTCTTCTAGGACTCTTAAAATTATTCCTTCCTAGGCACTGCTTGTGTTTAAGATTTCTTTCTTCACTAATCTCTGTAATAGTTGATGTGAAGCTAGTCTTAATTTCATCAAAATTATGAGTGTGTTGCCATAAATGCTTCTGGCCAAAAGATAAGAATAATTACTATTTCTGAAGTCATTTCTTAAGATAAAGAGTAAAACTGATCATGTTTTAATGTAGTAGAACTCTCATAGATTACTTTCAAAGCACAACATTTAACTTTGCCCTCAGTGAATATCCCACTGCTGTTCATTTTTTCATTTTCACTCTATTATATTTTTCTTCACACCAGCTTTAAAAAAAAACCCCACTAAACTGAAGCAAATATAAAATAAATTATTTAAACCTTCTAAATAGTTCAGGAAATTCTTTTTAGAATCCATTATCTGTATAATAGTCATTTAATAAAAAAAAATTGAACCAATGCAAGAAGATGTTCATCATGCAGAATCAGATTTAAAGATAGCTTTTTGTGTTGAACTAATGAAAAGGAATATCAATCATGACATAATTTCTAAGTTGTGTCATATAACTGTAATTAATTAAAATCATCTTACTGAGCCAAAGGGAATGCATAAGCCCTTATAATACAAAGAATAAATTTTTCCTCCCTTTATTCATTGCTGTATTAAGGACAAATTTATTTATGTTCTCCCTGACTTGGCTGGAGAATGCAGCTGTTATCTCTGTTGCTTTTCAAGACTGACAGTTAGTCTCTGAATAATGAATGAATACCAGCCTTGAATGAACATTTCAGACACTTTGTTTAATAGGCTAGTTATCAATACTTTTTTCTCATTATTGTAAGGCCAGCTGCTCTGACTTTTTCCTTTAGGGAAAATACACACACACACACACACACACACATACACACATAACTGAGCATGTATTGAAATCATCTTTTTCAAAGTATGAATTCTCTTTTTCTGTAAACTTAGTAATTATTTTAAATATAGTACCTATATAAAAGTGATCTTTGTTTGTGCTATGTGTGTTACACTCACTTTTTGATAATAGGCTTTTTCTTTTTTGAGGGGTGGTCCAGTACTAGGGTTGAACTCAGGGCTTCATACTTCATGCTTGCTAAGCAGGTACTCTACCACTTGAGCCACTCTGGCACCCTAGGCTAGCTTTTTTAATACTACTATTGATATAGAAAGAACACAGATGTGTCTAGGAATAATAAAATTCCCCCATCCACCTCTCTGACCTGGAAACAGTATAAAAAATAGAAGAGCCATTAAATCACAATAAGTCTTCTCTTGTAAGAGTTTCCAATCTTACTTAGTATATATTTCATCCTTACTTATAAAAGCCATGAAGTGCTTCTACCTTTAATGAAAACATGCAGGAACTTCTTATCTAGACCATTCCAGATAAAGGAATACATCTCCTATTATTAATGGCTCACGTTTTAATTATTTCATAATTCTTCTGCTTATATTTATTATTATATGTCTTTCCATTTGTTCAACAACATTTCTTTGATGTCTATAGGGTTTTGAGACTGTGCTGTATGTTGGGGCCACAACAGTGAATAGACAGAGCCTTACTTTCCTAGTGTACAGATAAATTAACAAAGGACAATGGATGTTATTTTAGGAAGGCTTATAGCATAGAGTCCAAACCTAGTCTAAGAAGTCAGGAAAGGCCTCCAAAGGGAAATAATGTTGGGACTTTGATGTGTACCTACACAAACAAATGCTGAAGTGAGGTGGGGAGTCTCTTCCACCTCCCCCTGGCAAAGGAAATAATGTGTGATTGTCTGGAAATGCTTGATGAAGGCATGCAAGGAGTGATTGGCCAGAAATAGATTATGAATAAGTAAGCAGGAATAAAGCATGAAAGGATCTTTGGAAAGACTTTTCAAAGGAGTTTGCATCTTCTCTAAAATTGGAAAAGTGGCATTAGAAGAGCATTTTTGGAAAGATAACTGGTAGTTGCAAAACAGTAAATGAATTAGAAGT